TATGATAAGCTAGAAATCATCAGTTCTAGAGAGATAGAAGTCCCGAAAGAAGCATTGACAATTGCCGAGAAAAACAATTTCGAATTGAAATGTTACAAAATCGCTGCTGAACCGGAGCAGTTACGAGCTCCAAGAAAGGTGTGAAACCCCACTTGAAAGGAAATATTCTAGAAATTGTCAGTGCACATTTAGGTGAGAGTTGCTGCAATCCAATTTTCATGCGCCCTACCAGCTTCAGCTCCAATAGAAGAACAGAGGGCAGCTAACCATCAAAAAGCTGCAACGATGATCGAAGCAGCTGCTGCTGCAGGTGCCAATGTCGTGTGCATGCACGAATTCTGGGGTAAGTGTGGTGCAAACGCTTGATGTGGCTGCAAGAGAGCAGCATCGAACTGTAAACGAGTGGCTTATTTAGCTATGCCGTATGTATTTTGCACTCGCGAACGCCTCCCTTGGACAGAATTCGCTGAATCAGCTGAAGATGGACCAACGACGAAATTCATGTGTCAGGTACTTATCGTCGTTCTATTAATGTATACTTCACAGCATGTTTCAAGGCATAAGGAAAGCGCAAAACAGCTTTGCAAGAACAGGAAATTACAAATTACCAGAAAAACCGTGGGAGCACAGCGCGCTTTAACCCTAATTTAGTCTCTAGCTGTACGGGTCCAAAATTGGGAATGATTTTTCCATATTTTGAATCCGACTAAGTTATTCATACTGCATTGTGCCTTGCTGTAGGGGAGGGTAAATGCACGTCTCAAAATTTTTGATAACTTGCATCTGACGCTATTTCGTGTTCTGAAATCATATGTTATATTTGTCCCACTTAATGACGTCCGTCTGCAATGTTGCTATATCTCACCTCCCCCTTTTTTGCATTGTTGCCATAAGGGATCCGGGGACAAGGCAAATATTATTTTCAAGTCCGCATTCGAATAACCTCACTGTACAAGTCTGCAGGATATACAGCGTTGTTCAGATACAGTGTGCCCGAAAACCTCTGTCTAAACAATGTTGGTTAAGTTCATAATTCTTGAGAAGCAGCCGAGAGCATCGAGTGCCCTCACTGTCTTCATTATGGTTAATTGGAGTTTTGCATGTGGCAGAGTTCGTAGTTTTCAATTTCCTAATGTGCAAAGCTAACGTGTTAATGTGTAAATAAATACGTGATGTTGATGTCCCTCATGATTGATGTGCTTCTAGCATCATTCACATCAACCACCTCAAGCTCGCTTCAGGAATAGCGATACTTTTGTAAATGGAGTGGCTTATCAAGTCATTGGGGGTTCATTCATGAGCTATAAATTGGGATATTTTGACTGGTAGAATTGTGCTTTTTGGTAACATGAAAATATCTTGGATAGATTTATCTGTTCAGTTGACTGTTTGATGTGGAAGTTAAATCAGAACAGTTAAGAGCCACGCACACTATGCCTTATGCCTTCTTGTTTTCCGGGTGATTTGAAAGATCGTAAGAGCCTTGTAGAAGAGGAATGTTTAATTATCAACATAAAGGGTGCGTAATAGAGGCTGGCAACTTTTATTGCAAAACATCAAAAAGCTGATTAGCTTCCCACATTTTTCTCTTCTTCCAGCTAGCGGTCAAGCATAACCTTGTCATTGTTTCGTCCATTCTCGAAAGGGACGATTCTAAGGATGAAGTACTTTGGAACACCGCTGTCGTCATTTCAAACTCAGGCGCAATTATCGGCAAAAGCCGCAAAAATCACATACCAAGAATTGGAGACTTTCAAGAGGTAAATGAAATGCTTGCAAAGAATGATAGAAACTCGAGTGTTGAAAATAAAAAATCGTTGCAGTCGACCTATTTCATGGAGTCAACTCTTGGACATCCAGTTTTCGAAACCGCTTTTGGTGTGTTTAATCTACTCTTTTTGCTCCTTAGGTCACGTACGTTCGATGATTATTTAAATAAAGAGCATTTAGTATGCTTTGAATAACGTTCACGTTCCCTAAATTCAGCCTATAATCACAGTTCTATAAATACACGTTTTGTGAAAAGCCAGACACTCTGGAGGACATCAGCAGTAAACCCAATTGTTCTATGAGAGTTATTACAGGAAAAATCGGCATAAATATCTGTTATGGCCGTCATTTCCCTCTAAATTGGATGATGTATGCTGAGAATGGAGCCGAGA